ACCCCCTACCGCCTGGAGACGGAGGAGAAGGTACACGCAGCCCTTGACTACTGCCTTCATAACCGGGCTGGCAAAGAGACAGCCTGTGACCCAGACACACTGGCCTGGCTGCAGTACTAGCAGCTGAGGCCCAGTTTAAAGCAGAGCTTTGATCCACCCTGCCCCTCAGGACATGGGGGCCGAGGGTTGATTTCTCCCAGCAGAGCAGTAAAATGGGTTGAAAGAAAGTGCAAAACTGCAGCATCCAGCCAAACATTGCTATTCCTGTGGTGGGATGTGGGCAGTGAGCTTGTAGGGTTAGAGTGGTGGTTCGTTTGCATTACTGCCTCAGCACCAAGACTCGGATTCGCCCCTGCTCTGACCTAGACAGCTCACACCTGTCTGTGTGGAGTCTGCATGGTCTCCCGGTGTTTGTGTGTGCTCCAGTTTCCTTCCAGCTGCAGCTGGGCAGATTTGGGTTAAATGGACAGTCTAAAACAGTCCCTTTTTGGGGGGTGGTTTCAAGAGGATCTTGTACTTTAGAAGATTTGACTACTACTGTACTGTCTCCAGGACTGTAGACAAGTCGAGCCAGATGAACCCACTGGGTTGAAGAGCCTCCTCTCAGCGGTGGCCATTCTGATGTTCACTGGGCTTCTCTTCCAGATCTCGTCTGCTGCCTGTGGCTATGGGTTCACTCTCCTGTCCTCTCGCACCCGGGACCTGACCAAAGTCTGGGGCATGGGCCTCAACAAGGACTCGCAGCTCGGTTTCCAGCGCACCCAGCACAACAGCAGTCAGTGGGACATTCCCTCTGAATTCATTCCAGGCTGTTCTCCCATTTAGAAACAGGACCGGTCTTTTAGCACATGTCAGCTACCGGCTTGGCCAGTTGTGTTTTCTGTTATTTCACTTGGGTTTGAAGCCATTTAAAAGTGATGATGTCCTTAAAACACTGCCCAGTTTTCAGGTTTCTAGGCTGAAGCGCAGCGCTAGCTGGTCGTCTTGCCTTGTGTGTGGGGGTACCATCTGGCATTGCAATCACTGGGGACACGTTTGAGGCAGGAGGACAGGATTGTAAAGCATTAAGGAGGAGAAGGCTTTGTTTCGCCAGCCAGTCTTTTGCTGGATTATGGCTGGACACCTGTGGTGTGATGTGGGTGGTGCTTCTGAAGTGTTTCCAGGAGTCTTTTATTTTATGTCATGCATGCTGAACATCAGAATGGATGAGTCTGTAACATCCACAGTAGCTGGAGTCCTGTAGAGGCGAGCTCTGGCTCGGTGAGACCCGGGCAGAGCCGATCTGAGGCTGGTGAGATGCGTCAGCCCCCGCTGAGCGACTGTGCCTTCTCTCTCCGTCCCCAGACAGCAGCTACGAGTACGTGCTGGAGCCCTCGCCCGTCGCGCTGCCCCTGCGCAGGCCGCAGGAGACCCGGGTGCTGCAGGTGGCCTGCGGCCGCGCCCACTCGCTGGTCCTCACCGACAACGAGGGCGGTAAGCGCCGGACGCCGTCCCCAGCCGCGCACCCTGGGAGCGGAGGCGCGGCCCTGTGCTTCGACGCTTTGCGGAAAGAAAGAGTTGAAAGAAAGACACCCCAGCACGCTTGCTTTTTACAGGCTGTGGGAAATCGTGTGGTAGAGTTCTTTTTACAAATGTGTTTTTCATCTCCTCAGGTTCGTCTGTAAATTTGCAAGTTATCGCCTTTCTGTTACTATCGATGTACATTGCCGTGTCCAGTTCTCATGGTTATCAAAATGCTTTACTCTATTGTTACCATGGCTAGTATGGTTTGTGCTGTAGTGCCTACGCTACATTCCTATCATACACTGAGCAATTGCCATAAGGCTTGGATCAGGAACTGCACCATGTAGCCTTTTCCTTTTCCAGGTAGTGTTTACTGAATGAGTCACTCGGCAGACCTGCACAGCAAGTTTTTTCTCTAGTCTGGTCTCTCATGTTGTCCCTTGGTCCGTTCTCCCTCCCATCGCAGTGTTCAGCCTGGGGAACAACGCGTACGGGCAGTGTGGGAGGAAGGTCGTGCAGGACGAAGTTTACAGGTATGAAAACCTGCACTTGATGTTCAAATTTGCCTTAGCGGACAGATGTCCCTAAGGTGCACTGCAATAACATCTCTCGCTTCATGCAAGGCAGAGACGGAGGCAGCAACAAGCGTGACGCTTGGGGAGGAAGAACAGACGTGCACGTTGTGTTGGATAAAGTGGTGGTGCAGGATGGGGAGTGCACTGCCAGGGAAGGGTGGCCAGCATCCTCTTGGCAGGAGTCGTGCTGGGTACCAGCCGGCTTGTATTGACGTCTGTGAGGCACGTGCCACCCTTGCAGTTGGCACTAACCCTCTGGTAGGGCACTGGAAAGCTTGTAGTGTCAAGGCTGTGACCATGACCATGTGTTGGACCTTTAGGACAGATAACTGCCTGTTAAAGGAGTAATAATGAATCGCTATTTTTTTTAATTGTTTTTTTCAAATTGTCGGATTAAGTCTACGATAAGGAAGGTTTTTTTCAAGCAGATGAAATGAAATCTGCCTCTGCTGGAGTGGTACTGTATTTAGCCGAATACTGATTGTCTTTAACCACCCGTCTATGCTTGTGTCGCCCTCCTCTGGGACACAGCGGCAGTCACGTGGTCCACAGGATCCAGGGCTTCGACAGCAGAGTGATCCAGGTGAGTGGGGTTGTGAGACCATGGGACGTGTGCAAAACCTTGATGCACTCGCCAGTTACGTTTTTCTTTAGCGATACCCACTTGATTTTCTGGTGTCATCGCTGGCTCGCAGAAACAGACCCTGCAGTCGCACACGGGAGAAAGAGGAAGTGCAGGCAGGCTCCTCCAACCTGCACGTGTGAGCAAGTCGTGCCCCACCCTGAAAGCCCTGGCTCATCTCTCTCTGTCCCCTGCTTGGGGAATCAGCATGGCCTGTTGACAAGACTCAGGCTTGAACCCGCAGTCATTTCTACCATTGGGCAGATAAAGTGGTCTTTATGTGGCACGTTTGAAATTTGGGATCTCCAATCATCCGAATTGCGCTGTTCTCCCCACTGTCAGCTGGAAGTCCGCTCCTTCTGTGTTTGCCGGAGAGCACAGAAAGGGCACCCCCCCCACTTCTTCGGCACCTGCTTTGTCCCGCTGTCCGACCCTGCCAACAAAACCTGGCACCTGGGGCCTGGTCTGGGGTGCTATTAAGTTTCGATTAAATCCCCAGTTACTGTCATCGGTTATACAGGCGTCAGAGTCGTTCTGTTAACTCTATTGCATGATGAAACCCTCAAGGACATTAGAATGACCTGTTTTTGGTTTGGAGAGTTCTGTCTTGAGTTCAGTGGTGAATCTTAACGAGAGTGGATTGTCTCCCTGTCTGGCAGGTGGCCTGTGGTCAGGATCACAGCCTGTTTCTGACTGAAGACGGCCAGGTTCATGCCTGTGGCTGGGGCGCAGATGGTCAGACAGGTCAGTGTCTGTGACCGCGCGTGCCCTTTTCGAGGTGTGCGCTGCAGTTGTTGACTGAGGGCGTCACGGTGGCGCAGTGGTCGGCGTTGTTGCCTCCTGGTGCTGGGGCCCAATTCTGGACCTGGGGTGCTGTCTGTGTGGAGTCTGCATGTTCTCCCCGTGTTTGTGTGAGTTTCCCCCAGGTGCTCCGGTTTCCCCACCACAGTCCAAAGACATGCAGGTGGGTTAATTGGCTTCTGGAAAAACTGGCCGTGGTGTGTCTGTGTGCGGACAGCCCTGTGATGGACTGCCTCCCCAGTGACCCTGTAGTGGATAAAGCAGTTAGCGAATCGGTCGATTCATTTGAATCCATCTCAGTTGAACTGGCAGCCCAATATGTGATCCCCTGTCAAAGCCTGAGGAACAGTGAGTCTGTCTCCCAATAATGCTCCATATGTTTACAGTATATGTAAATATTTTATGATTTGTCTTTGTTGTAAATGTCTGTAGATTTTATTTTATTTTATTTTTTTTGTTTAATGTTAATTTTATTCTTACTTGCTTTGGCAACACTGATTGTCCCCAACGGTCATGCCAATTAAGCACCTTGAATTGAATGGATGGATGCAAGTGTGGACCAGCAAGGCCTGGCGATCTGTCTGCTAGATATTCATGCCCGGCAGGGTCAATCTGTATCCATCAAAAGCTTTCCTGAAATGTCCGGCAGGACTGGGGCACCACGCCGTCAGCCCGCAGCCAGCGCGCGTGTGCGGGGAGCTGGAGGGGGTGCGGGTGAGGCAGGTGACCTCGTATGGGGACTGCAGCCTGGCTGTGTCCCAGGACGGGGAGCTCTTCGGCTGGGGCAACTCGGAGTACCTCCAGCTCTCGGCTGTCACCGAGGCCACTCAGGCAAGTATGAAGGGTCCCGGGACGGAGCCACCGTTTAAGTCGCAGGAGTAGATCTGCCTCCAGATGAATGTTTCTGGTTACGTAACAGAATTTCTCGTTTGAATCTTCCGGATCAAGAGCTGGATGTCCCATGGTGTGATGTATTAATACTCATAAGGTCAGATTTATTCTGAAAACGTTTTCGTAACTATATGAAAGCCAAATCGCTGTAGGCAGTGGAGGAAAAATACAAGCATTGAGACGGGCCGTGTCATAAAAATACATCTTCAGCCACGATTTCAGACCAGAGAGAGACTCAGATTGCCAGAGGACACGGGGTTTGACACCATCTCTTCTGAGTCCACCATAGCGGGTTGGCTGAGTTTACAAAGAACTAGTGATCCTGCACAGGGAGGAGAGCAGGGACGGATAAGAAAGATGACAAGAGCTTGGTTGTTCTGTGTTGGAAAAAGCAAAAACAGCTGAGACATGCAAATACTCTCCCAGAAGTAATTAGCTTCGCAGCCACTGAGCAGTTCATTGTAACACACCTGAAATCTCCAAAACCATATTTTTTGCTACCTTAGCACTGAAGTGACAGCAATGATTTAACAGATACCATTCTGCTGATTTCTTCTGTTACCCCGACTAAAAAGTTTTTTTTTTAATTCTCAACAGTGACCTTTGCCCTTCTTGCCAAACAGGAGGCAGAGAGCACTGCACATGAGCTGCAGTCTGTGGGCAGGTGACCAGTCTCTGTCCCTGCGAAGACTGATTGCTCAACTTTCAGACCATATTGGAACTCTGGGTTTATCAGTCTTCACACTTAAAGTGGGGTTGAGTAACTGAGCAATCTCAGCCAGCTGCTCTCTGCTGCTGAGTAAACAGATCAGTCTGCTGCCAGAGAGCAAAGCAAGCCCTTTCTTTGTTCTTCTGATTTTTTTTATTTTTCTCACAACCTTCTTCAAGGCATTGTGTGTTCCGAATTATTACCGAACTCTAAAGGAATTAAAACAGTGTATTTGAAGGTCAGTACTCACAGCAGCCTCTTGTAAGTGTTAACCCCGTCATCAGTTGGCTCCAGAAAGCCATGCAGCACGCGCTCCCTGATGGAACGAAAGAGATGGATCTGGTTAAGCAACAGATTAGTGCAGCAATAGTTAACTTTTGTTCCAAGTAGCTAATTGATCTGAGGCTCTTGAAGGAATCCAAGATATCAGATTTGAAGTCACGGCTGGGCAGCTTGTTCCAGACTCTCACAGCCCGTTGTGTAAAGGGGCGACTCCTGTTGTCAGTTTTAAACGCAGTTCTTAGCTTCTGCTTGTGTCCTCCGGTTTGTGTTTTGCTGTTGATCGGATCTGCTGGCTGGACTTTGAGATGTTTGAGTCTTTTTGAATACTTCCACGAGCTCACCTAGTGATTAGCACTGTTGACTGGACTAAAAAAGATGCCATCTTTTCACCTGTCAGTGTCGGACATGTCTTCAAGTCCAGGAACGTGCCTGTTTGTTCGCAGGGGGCCGATTGAAAACTGCCGTTTTAACTTCGCCGCTTTCTTTTCCTCAGATCAACGCTCCACAGCGCCTCCCCCTGCCCGGGGTGGGGCAGGTACAGCAGGCAGCCTGCGGGGGGACCCAGGTGGCAGTACTCAATGGTGAGGCGAGGCGCTGCTCCCTCTCATGCAAGCATGGCCTTTGCTGGGAGCCCTTTGCTACCAGTTTGCAGTATCACTTACATGCTTTGTCGGGATGCCCTGTCGTGTGGAGTTTGAGATGGGTTCTGTACGAGTCCCAGTTGTCAAGCACTGGGATACTTTCCAGCTCTTTCAGTGTTGCTGTTGGCCACACGGTGGCGTCCCTCACTAGGTTCCTCTGTGCCCCACTGTTCAGTCTAGAAGCGCAGCCTGTCTGGGCACCTTGCACTTCTTAATTATTGAATATATCATGTTCAGAGAGATATTAAGAGTCTTTTTAAAATGTTTTTATATCCTGCTCCTAATTTGTGCCTTTAGACAATTTTATCCACAAGTTGTTTTGAAAGCTCCATGGTCCTATTTATTTAATCTTTGCTTGAAATTCACTGCCTGACTGAGGGACCTTACAGAGACAGATGTATTTGTTCTGTAATCATTGTCAGCACTAGGATTAGACACAGACAGAGGTCACTCAACTAATTCTCTATTGTGTTAGGTAAGGTAATGTTGTGACACCTAAATTAATTTAGGTTTGCCACAGCAATAGTTTTGAATACTTATACAATCATTTTCTTAAATTATAATTATTTATTCATATTAATTATATATCTGCTTTTTTGGTTTGGATTTTTTTTTATTTTGCCAGGATTGACAGAGCAGTTGTCTAAGAAATCTGTGCATAGGTCCAGTCACTAAGCATAAGCTCTATGTCAACAGTACATTACTGAGATTACTGAACCTAAAAGGTAAAAACATGTCCTATGTGTGTAGGCAGCCTGATGCTATGGACTCTTCTTTCTCTTTAATTTTCAGAAAAGGGGGAGGTGTTCATTTGGGGATATGGTATTCTGGGAAAGGGGCCTGACCTATCAGAGTCCAAGACACCAGAGATGATCCCGCCCACGCTGTTTGGACGCACACAGTTTAACCCTGAGGTGACTGTGGCACAGATCCACTGTGGACTCAACCACTTTGCCGCTATCACAAGTAAGGGTCTCAAGAAAAAAAACAAAGCAAATACTTCAGGTTGTTTCGAGGGGGGTAAGAGTTATAAGTACAAAATGGCCAAATGGCTCCGTCACTAGTGAGTTGGTCCTGAAAACAAAACAAGAATGAAAATTGATTATGGTTGCTTCCACTGAAGACTTCCAGACATCAGTCCATCACAGGGCACACACACAGAAACACACACTCACACTGGGGACAATTTTTCCAGAAGCCATTTAACCCACCAGCAGTCTTTTGATTGTGGGATTAAATCTGGAGCACCTGCAGGAAACCTATGCAAACTTAGGGAGAACATACAAACTCCACCCAGACAGCACCCCAGGAATTGAACCCTGGACCCCAGCGCTGCACAGCAGCAATGCTCGCCACTGTGCCTCTGTGCTGCCCACATAGAAAAAAATCACAACGTCAAATTAGCGTATCCTGCTTAGATCAGCTGATCCAAACAACGCAGGAAACGGAATGGTCATTACTGGATGCCTATAAGAGAGCCGCACGTCCTTGTGTTGCAGATCGGGGAGAGCTCTTCGTCTGGGGCAAGAATGTGAGAGGGTGTCTGGGCATCGGGAAGAGAGATGACCAGTACTTCCCATGGCGGGTAAGAAACAGGGACACCTCCTGCTCCCATGAGCCCCGGAAAGTAAAAAGCTATGTTAAACCAGCCATATCTTCCCTTGTTTCTAATCCCGTTTTTTTAAACTCAACACTCGCTGCCCACTGTATTGAAATCGTGGGAGCAGTGTGGCCGTCTGACCACTTGCACCTACCAGGTGGGGAGGTCCGGTGAAGGTTTGGTTTTGGGGTTTGTGGTTTGGGCTTCACCTGGGGGACTCTATCCCAGAAGGG